AGGCTGGTTCTGCCCTCCAGGCTGCAGTTCCAGCGCTCGGAGCGGAACTGGAACTGGCACTCGAGGATGCCGAGGCGAATGGCATCGCGCAGGGTGTCGGCCAGGCCTGGCTCCCGCCGGCACAGCCTCTTCTGCTTGCGTGACAGCTTCAGCAGGTCACACTGCTTCACGTGCCCCTTCCCCTGCCCCGAGCTCGGCGACGGCCCCAGGGACGGGAAGTGGGTCAGAGCCTCCTTCCCCGTCAGGCTGAAAGGAAGCAGGAAAAGCTGTGAGTTATATCAGAGATCCCTGGGAATGTTCTGGGTCAGGTTGGACAGGAGCTCTGAGCAACCTGGTCTGAGCAGCCATGGAAAGTGTCCCTGCCCATGGCAAGGGGTTGGAATGGTCTTTAAAGGTCCCTTCCAACCCAATCCTGTCTAGGATTCCATGAAAATTCTCAGACAGCAGTCATGGAAAAGGGGATCATAGACAAGGATATTCTGGTCCAGAATATCTTCTGTAAAGTACCAGCCGTTGGTCCTGGTACTTTTCCAGCTCAGAAGATTAATTAGAATCATTACAGACTGATTAGATCTTGCAGACATACCGAGGCTAACACTGTGGAGAGCAACGTGTGTGTCGTCCCCAGCAATCCTGGGTGGGAAGTTCCCTTGACTCCATGAAGAAGACAGAGAGCCATTGACTAGGGCAGTAGGGTCAGAATTAACCAGATGGAAATAACCCAGTAAGGAGTTCATGAAATAAGCAGTAAATTGGTTAATCCATGTGACTAAAGCTACCTGGAACATACCTATGCAAGTGTCCCTCATGCCAACTCTCACACTCATCACCTAAGAGAGGTGAATGACAGCAGGAAGAATTATCTGACTGTGCTTGGAGTCTCCTAGAGATGAGGAGTCATTGCACAGATACAACTCTCCAGACTAGTCTCTCCCATAACTTCCAATCCAGACAAGCAGGCAGAGAAGTTCCAGGAGGTGCCCAAGGCCACCAGTGGCACAGGTGGGAGCAGAAGTTGCTCTCACAGCCACCTCACCCACATGAGTGAGGCTTCTCAGGGTCTCACTCCAGCTGTGTTTTACGAGGGTAAACCCAATGTAGGCTGAGATGAAGATCACAGAGGAGAACATTCTTACAAGATGAAATACAAAATATGCAGATCTTTGCAGTTGGGCAAAGTGCACATGGTTGAAGATGATGGAGAGTTTGTTATCTCCAGATCACACAGCCAAAAGTGAACCCTTTGAATTAATGCACACCTGCTCCCAATCTGAGGGAACAATAAGGATCTCCAACTTTTATTCCTCTCTCCTTTTCTGTCTAAGCACTTTGCTAAATTCATCCATTTCCTTTAATCTCCTTCCAGCCACATTCCATAATGAGAGGCTGTTCCTGTGCAGTGCCCAATGTCCTCTGCATCTGAAAGGTCTTAAAAACCCGGAAAATATGCCTTTCCTACCTCTCCCAAGCCAGGAGAGAAATCAAAGGGAGCCACAACATTTCTCTGTATCTGATTTCAGTGCCTTTCATGTTCCATAGAAACATCTCCACCCCACAGGGAGCTGCAACAAGCACTCAGGGAAGGCTGAGGGCATATGGGCCATGAGAGACCAGACCAAGTCCAGTGAGGTGCACTAAGGTCCTCAGCTCTGCTCTGGCCCTGAAGCTCAGCAAGACAGAGCTTTCATCCTTTCAAAAACAACATGATTTAATCCTCCAAGTGGACAAGTGCATGGCCAGTGGCAGTGACCCCTCTGGATGGTCTCCTCTACTTTGTACCCCCACCAGCTACAGAGAAGGTGCCACAAACCCCCAAAACAGCTCAACTCTAAATCAATATTTAAACTTAACAATTGATATCAAAGGTTTTTACCTTTCTCCATCAGCTGCCATTTCAGCCCCTCAGGCAGGTGTCTCTATACCTGTTACCCTCAGATCCAGCTGTTCTAAGGAAGCTTTCCAGCAGAAATGAAATACTAATCATGTCCTAGTGCCAAGCCAGCAGGCACTTCCCAGCACATGTAGGAGGAAGTGTCTGGCACGTGGTGGGAGGATCAGTGGAGAGGAAACAAGAACCTCCACATGTGTAAGGCAGCACAGACCTGTCCTGAGTGCTACAATCACCCACAGCAGAATCTGAATGTGTTAATGCTTGTGTCTGTTCTGCACTCACTGACACGTGCACTAACGGCTCTGGTCAGCATAAGAATCTGGAAAACCTTCCCAAGGAGAAACTCACACAGAAAACATCACAGAACAGAACACTCTGCATTGACTCAATCCACAACAAACCCAACTTTGCCTTTATGCTAAGGGAACTAAAGTGTGAGGGAGGACATGCACCCGGGGGGATCCTGCCCAAGTGATCCTGCAGTGTCCCCGACAGAGCAGCAGCTCTGCCTGTCTGCACCCAGGGCTGGCTTTGAGCCTGCAGAGCCCCACAGCACCCTCACCCATCTCTGCCAGGCCCTTCTCCCACCTTCTTCCCCCCAGGGAATCTGCTTGCAGAGAGGTATCAAAGCCACCAACTCTCAGGGGCTAAGTCGCATCCCGAGCCCACACGGAGCACAGTCCAAGTGTTTAAGCCAGTTTTTCTCTCGCGCCCCATTTCCCTGTCCTGCTCTTGCACAGCTGATCCTTCCCTCGTGTCCTCTCTCCGGGCAGTCCCGGGGCGCGGGGGGCTCCTGCG